GGTCTGCTAGCTGGGTGCTGGCAGGCTTGCACCTGGCACAGGCACCGTAGCCAGCCCGTGCCCCTTTAAGGGGTCCGGGGCCGGGAGGGGGGCATACGAGTTTCCCTGGTGTTGGCCAGAGTGGCCACCAGGGAAAGCTGGGGAGGGCTAGCCTCCCACTAGTTCGAATTAAGGGGCTACACACCCCTTAATTTGAACTAGTAAGTTCGAACTAGGCTTAGTCCTCGTGGAATGAGGTTTACCTAGTTCGAACTAAGCGCTCTGCTAGTTCGAATTAAGTTCAAACTAGCGGAGCACTAGTGTAGCGCCTATCAAAGTTAATTCGAACTAACGTCCGTTAGTTTGAATTAACTTTGTAGTGTAGACATACCCTCTGTTCCTTTTTTACCCAAAGCCTATTAAAGGACTCCAAGCAGAGGGGAGGAAGGGAGGGTCGAGCACGGACAGGGACGCACATCTCGAAGAACCATCATTACTGCACAAGGTGAGTAACAACCACTTCTCCATCGAGTGGTGTCCCTGTGGGTGCTCCACTCGGGTGACTTAGTAGCAGTACCTGCCACATGATGGTGGGCATTGGAGTCATTTATGTAGAGGAAGGAAGGACCGCATCTGCTAGAGAGATAGTGGGTATGGGCCCTTTCTGTAGGGCGTAATGTTGTATAAAGGGGTGATGGGAGGATTATGTAGCTGCTCAACAAATGTCTGCCAATGGCACATTATTCAGGAAAGCCGTTGCTGTGGCCATGGCACGTGTGGAGTGAGCCCTGATAATCTGTGGTGGCTGCTTCCCTCCAAGTTTGTAAGATGTGTATATGCAGCTCGCAGTCCATATGGATATACGTTGTGCCGAGATGGCTGTTCCTTTATGTGGCCTGGACCAAGAGATGATGAGTCTTTCTGGTCTCTGGTTCTAAGTAGAACACAATGGCTCATCTTGCATCCAATGTGTGCAAGATGGACTCTTTGGAGGAAGTGTGAAGTTTAGGAAAATATGAAGTATATTGGTTCATTTAGGTGGAAATCAGGGAGGAACATGGGGTGAGGCCTGAGTGTAACTTTGTCTTTAGTAAAAGTAGTGAAAGATGGATCGGCCATGAGGGCTGCAATTTCACCTACATGTCTTGCAGATGTTATTGCCACTACGAAGGCCACCTTCATGGACAAATATTGTGGTGATGTAGTGGCTAGTGGTTCAAAGAGTGGCCTGGTGAGCATGTAGAGAACAAGGTTTAAGTCCCAAGATGTCATCGGGGGGTACAGATTTGGCTGCATTTTCTGCAAACCTGTGAGGAATCACTTCATCATCGGATGTGCAAAGAGAGAGAAATCATCCAAAGTTGTGACCGCCGCTAGATGGACATGGATAGAACTGATGAAGAGCGCTGCATTGCTGAGGTCCATCAGGTATTTAGTATGGTAAGTATGGGGGCGGTAATGGGGGTGTAAATGGCGAATGGTGCACCACTATTGAAAACGTCTCCATTTGTTTTGGTAGGTGCATCTCGTGGAGGGCCATCTGGATGTGTTTAAGTCTGTCTGAACAGGTAAGTTCACAATGGAGAAGCCATGCTATGCGTTTGTTTTGACATATGGGTGGTATGTTTCGCTGTGGTGTTGCGTTAGGTGGTGCAGCACCATGGGGAGGGAGAGGGGTATCGGTTGATCTATTGAAAGGTAGTGTAGCTAGGGGAATCTGGATTGTCTCGGCCAGGCGGGAGCTATCAGAATTACAGTGGCATGGTCGGAGCATATCTTGTTGATCACCCTGGAGAGTAGTGGAATTGGTGGGAAGGCGTAGAATAGGGGAGCTGTCCAGCAAATGGTGAAGACATCCCCTCTGATTTCTTGTCCTGTCCTGCTCAGAAGCAAAACCTGTGGCATTTGCGGTTGAGTAGTGTTACAAAGAGATCTATAACTGGGAATCCCCATTTGCAAAACACTGGGAAGAGAACCTTGGTGGTGGTCTCACTCGTGTTGTTCTGAGAAGTGTCTGCTCAGTTTGTCAGCCCTGGTATTCTGGTGGCTTGGTATGTAGGTGGCAGTTGGGGTTATGTGATTCTTGATACACCTGTTGCAAAAATCTCACTTTTGCACAGAGTGAGCGTGATTGGGCATGTTGGATTGAAAGTTTTATTTTTTTAAAATATTTGTAGTTAATATAAATGTTCCAGTGCAGCATTTCAAACCGCGCAGAGCCCAGGGTCAGCAGGGGAGTCTCCCGCTGACCCCGGGCTCTGTGAGGCATTTCAAAGCGGCAGCGCAGCATGTAGCCTCGGGTCAGTGGGGGACTCTGAGTCCTCCACTGCCCCCAGGCTCCATACGGGCACTTCTGCTTTGAAATGCGCAAGAGACCCCCACTGGGGATTCTTGTACATTTCAAAGCTGGCATACCCCCATACAGCCTGGAGTCCATGGAACTTCCCGCTGGCAGAGTGCCGAATTCCTCCTTTGAAATGTACAAGAAGCTCTTGTACATTTCAAAGGAGGAATGTGGAAGTGCCTATTGACTAGTCGAGTAATCAATGGAAATTCCATTGACTAGTCAACTAGTAAATGACTCAGGGGTATAGGTGTAAAGAGGATTCTGTAGTCCAATTTGATAATCTCCAGGACCCACTTGTATGTAGTAACATGTGGGCCCATTCCTTGATAGAAGGGTCTCAGGCACTAATGAAAGGTGACATTTGGATGCACTGGATCTATGGGGTGGTCACTCAGACTAGGGATGTTAATATCAGTTAATTGAATAGTCAAGTAACTTCATGACTTATCGGTTACTCAACTATCCTTTAGTCCCTGGAGAAAGGACCGGCAGCTAGTGCCCTCTGGCCCCACTCCAGAGGAGCCCCCCTGCCAGTCCATGTTGCTGTCTCTGTATCAGGCAGGAGCAGGTCTGCAAGGGTAGCTAGTTGAAAAACCAGCTCCCCCTGCAGCCCAGCTGCCTGTTGCTCCATGCTGCTGCCTCTGATACAGGGGTGGCAGCAGCCCCTATCTGGGGCCGGGGGTCTGAGCTTCTGGACCTGGTGTGAGCTGGAACTGAGCTGGGCTGCCTTCTACCTCCGGATACACTTTAAATACAGAGCACAACAAAGGTAGGTCCCAGACTCAGCACAAGCCAGGCTGCTAAAAATTTACTGGTGAGTGTTGCGGTATATATATATATATATATATATATATATATATATATATATATATATATATATATATATATATATATATATATATATATATATATATATATATATATATATATATATATATATATATATATATATATATATATATATATATATATATATATATATATATATATATATATATATATATATATATATATATATATATATATATATATATATATATGGTTGAGACAATTTTCTCCCACTATTTGATCTGAGGAAGTGGGTCATTACCCCCCCTAGTTTGAACTAGGGGGGTAGTGTAGACATACCCTAAGAGTGTAAAAAAGGTTACACTTCATATCTGTGCAGTGTTTTCTCAGACAGTCATTGCACTCTCTTCTGCCCATTTTTCAGTTAATATAACAGTTCCCCCCACCACAATGGCTGACAGAAGGGAGTACCCACTGTACTACTTCCATGTGTCTTTGCTGAGTGTGACAATTCAGTCTCACGGCAGAGTCTCACCTGCATGCAGATGCAGTGTTCACGTGGGAGATTTTATAGCGACCCAGAATTAAGGTGAAGAACAAAGAATCCAATGACTTTTATAATGGCTGATCATTTTTGGCATGTCTGATTGTTGGATTAAAGCCATGTCTTGTAACACTTCCAATCCCCACAAAAACCTCTCTAACCTAAACAAGCAGCTCCACATTTGAAAAGGTCGTCTTGCAAAGCAGGAAACTCCCCAAATGCTCTTTATATCTACCCTGATTTGAATGTATTTAATATGTGAGAAAGGTGCTGTATGACAGCTCTAAAACTGAAGCTTCCTATTGGGAGAGAACACATATCTGACAGGAAGTACATGCTTTCCCTCTCAGCCCCACTAAACAGAACCTAACCAGCTTTGGGGTTAGTCTTTGTGTATTTTAGCCACTGACCTCTCTGCCAGAATTGCTATTTAAGGTGCTGGCTGTGACACCGGCATGTGCTCTGGTAAAAATACTCCCTTATTCTTCCTTATAATAAAGATTAAATGCATTTTTGTACCACTTAGAAATGTTCAAAAATTACTATTTGATTTTTCCCTCCAGAACTCCAAATTCTGTGCACAATTCGCAGTCTTCACAGAGTGCTGATTACAAAACCGAAATGTCTTCCTGATTAAACAGGTAACCTACAGTGGGTCAAACACAAAGCTCAGAAGAAAATAACCAGCTGAACACAGGAATGTGGTGCAACTGTAGCTATGTTATAGTTACAGTGCTTAAAAAAACTGTTTCAGACTTGGAGTGAAAATATTTTTGCTGCCTCCTACAACAATGCTTGGCCTCTTATATCTAAATTAAATATTTTGAGAGCAAGTACATTGTCTGGGCTTACTAGCTACATCAAGAAATGAATCCTTACCTCACTTAATTTTGACCAGTTATATCAGTGTCTGGTCAGAGAATGACCATGGTATTGCTACCCTGTTGTGCTTAAAAACCAGACTCTGAGTGAACACCAGGAACAGGAGAAGGAGGAAGTAGCAGCTTGGCTACAAATATATGTTTCCTATGAGTGTTCTCTTGATCTGGTGAGCTTGCCACTTCTTGCAGGCCTTTGGAGTGGCTTTATTAATAAATAATTTTCCAATGGGTTGGCTGTTCACAGTTTCTCTCTTTTGCACCACAAAATCGGTTGTAAGTTGTCTTGGGGTCAAATCCCAGGATCTCCCTTTCCTCGTGAATCCGAAAAGAAAATGTTGAAACCGAGGTGCCTGTAAAATACCTGTGAAAGAAAACCGAATGGGCTATTGGAAAAGGGTTGTTTTTAAGATACAAATAATGGTCTTATCAATTCCTACTCTGCTTTTAATTAATTTTCTGTAATACAAAACACAGAATTACTGCACCTCATTCAATTGAGTTATTTAGGTTTGCAAGATTCAATAGCTGTAAAATCTGACTTCACATACTGTGACAGAGCAGGTGGGATACAGCAGGTTAAAGGGCTTGGTGGAAGGGGAGAGAGGCAGCTCTTGCGGAGAGAGGCAGCAATCCTGGCTAATTGGGGGCAGCTGAGACAAGGAGGCTGCGACTCAATTAAGGTCCAGGTGAAGCTGATTGGGGCTGCCACAAGGCCTCTTTTTAAAAACCCTCCCTGCTGGTGGAGTGGGAAGAGTTTGGACAGTGAAGGAGAGGTTTGGAGTGTGGAGGAAGACAACTGATAAGGAGACCAGAGGAGCCAAGTAGAGCAGCTGCCGCCCTGATAAAGGCTGCAGGGAGACGCCAAACACGGCAAGTGAATCTTATACTGCTACTCCTAAATTGTGGGACAGTGGCCTGACCAAGGGCTAGGGGCCCAGGAGTGGGATTGACTCTGCCACAATACAAACCTAAGAGACATGTACAATAATCAAACTAGCTACCTTGCATGTGCACAGACCCACTGGTCAATAATTGCTATTCCTCCATCTTTGTAGAGCTCTAGCTCCTCCCAAGTGGGTTCAAACCTCACCATCTCAGGCAGTAATTTTTTGAGCTCTTCAGTCTCTAAAAGAAAAAGGAAAAAAAAAAAAACCTTCATAAGCCAACCAACACAGCACCGTTAGAGAAAATGACTAAGACTGTCCTATTCCATACAGGAAACCCTTGCCATTTGCAGTCAATGTGTTCCCCATCCAACACAAATGGTGAAATTCGTGAACACTGGGAGCTGTGGCTCCCAGCCACTGTGTTGAGCTCCCCGTGGCTCCAAAACTCACTGCATGGGCTGGGAGCTGTGGGAAACTCACCGTGGGGGGCAGGAGCTATGGCGAGTTCCCTACAGCTCCTGGTCTCCATTGCTCCCAGGCCATGACAGGAGATCCACGAATACACGGAACTGCAAATAGTAATTCTGCAAATGGCAAGGGTCTCCTGTACATTTCATTTAACAGCTGGACAGAACTGGCTGAAAGGTTATAAAGCATAGGAACCTATAAATTGACCTAGGATTTGTAAAACTAATGAGTGGGTGGCTTTGGGGGACAAGTGCCAACATTGATGCAAATGCTGAGAGAGTGTGTGCGCCTGGGGAATGGGTTGGTACCACTGGTCTCACTTTCTAATCCTACAAAAGCACCAGAGAATGACTGCAAATCTCAGTTAGATGCTACAATGGCCTCCCCTCTCTGCTTTTTTTTTAATGACACCTGTAAAATCATATAAAGAAAAGTTGCAGTGGAAATGGGACAGAAGAGGCAAAGACCAGACATAAACATCCACACCTCATGAGGAGAGAACTATTAAAAGCAACGTGAGATGTTGGCCTGTGAAATTAATGCATATGAAAGGAGCTTCTTTCAATGGTCTGGAAAAGCAGTCTTTCCCAGAACAGATACAGCACGTCCAGAACTCCCCTCCTGTACCAGTAGGACTCACCCTTACCCATGAGAAGCCAACACTATGGCTGAAGAGTTCTATCTCCTCACCAACTACTGTGCTCTCTGAAAGCTGCCAGGTATAGCCAGCCACATGGATTGTGCTCTCTAGACATCTGCTCCCTGGGAACTGAAGCAGGGCATTAAGCTTGTTTCATGCAGATGGCCAAACAGCCTATGTGAAACACCCAGTGACTACTGTCCAGGCACTATGTATTAGGGCTAGATTTAATGGTCAGCATGGAAATGAAAGGCTCCAGTACCCCTTTCAATTCCCTGAGATGTTCAGTCTTGCAGGAAGGCTACTGATACTCAGTAATCCAGGATATGAAGTGACAACTGTTGCCATGATGACCAATCTGTATTGTGAAGTAAGCCCAAGGGCTAAACAGGGTGGGAGAGCAGCATACCCTCCACAATGGCATCAGTGGCTATGAAAACTCTCTTTAGTTTATGCCTCTCCATGAGACTGCGGATTTTCTTCACTGCTCCGTGAAGGCTTGGCACATCTTCTCTGTGACCCCAGATGAAGTCTTTTCTTCTTAGGTGAACCCCAAGGTATGGCCCGCCTATAGCAGTGCCCAGCTTTACCTGTCAGAAAACAATCAGCACGTGATATAATAAAAAATGCCGGTATCAACTCAGAATGAAAAATTTGTTGGTACATGAATATGTGTGCTGTGGGACTGTTAAAGCATCCTGTTAAGCCAACTAATGTGAGGTGTTGTCGGCTGCATAATGGCAATAATTTGTAGTGCTTACAGCTAATGGATGAGTGTTTATCTAGTAGCAATGAATAAATAAAGCTTGCAAGATGGAAGGAGTTGGTTATGTAAAACTCAAATTTATCATCAAAGTCTCAGTGTTCGCCTGTAACTTTAAAAACAACAAATAGTCCTGTGGTACCTTACTTCAGGGTTTTGTGGACAAAAGTGGACTTTTGTCGACAAACCTGTGTCAACACTACCGCCGAGTTCTGTTGACATAATAGCGACAGAACTTGGCAGTTTTGTCAACTGCGGTAAACCTCATTCTACAAGGAATAACGCCTTTGGTCAACAGTTCTGTCGACAGAAGGCGGTATTGCATCCACACTGTCCTTTGCATCTACGCTCTCATGTTGACAAAGCGGCTTGATTTCGACAGAACTGGCTGTAGTCTAGATACTCTTTGCTGACAGAAGCTTTGTCAACAAAAGCCTGTAGTCTAGACGTACCCTTAGAGACTAACAAAAATATATAGTATCATGAGCTTTCAAGGGCAAAACCCACTTCATCAGATGAGTTATAAAGTGGGTTTTACCCATGAAAACTTATGATAGTATATATTTTTGTTAGGCTCTAAGGTGCCACAGGACTAATGGTTGTTTTTATTTTGAAAGAGCGTCCTCGTTAGACTAAAGCAGTGACTGACAGTTCTGAATAGAACATGACTCTCTGCAACAAAATGCAAAATACACAAAATGGAACAAGTCACCCTTCATGGAAGTGAGTATGGCATGGTATACTCAAAACCGCATCCTGGAACTCTCACATTCACCACTGTAATAACATTATGATATGTTTTGTACAGAGTATGCCTTGTGATAAACCATTTTTGAAGTCTTGACCTGTTGAATATACTGATGGGTTGTATGTGCTATCACAGTATGAGAAGATAAGCAGGTGTGTGTGTGTGTGTGTGTGTGTGTGTGTGTGTGTGTTGTGTGTGTGTGTGTGTGTTACTGAACTATGTTGTGAAGTTGAAAACACCTGTCATTTCAGGATCAACAATGGAGGAGCCAAGCACTGCTGATGGCCTATAGTTCTCCCAGGACAAAGTCAGGAACCGTATACAATGGAGACTTCTCAGAGCTTGCACATAGACAATAGAGACTGTCTGATTCATGTCATAACAAAAGGATCCTTTCACCAAGCTGGAAGAAACTATAAGAGGGGAATTGACACCATCACTTGGCCTCATTCCCCAACACTACCCCGCCCTCCCCCTCCCCCCCCCTCAACTCTTGGAAACATGTCTCCAGACATTTGCCTGGAGAAAAAAGACTGAACTGGGGAGGTGGTCGCAGAGTTTCATCCTGTGTATGGAAGATTTGTAACCTGCCCGTATGACCAATCAGGAGATACTGCTGCGATTGTACTTTATTTCTAAAGTAACAAACTTTGATCTGTATACTTATTACTTAAACTAGCTCTTTCTGTAGTTAATAGGTCTGTTTCATGCTTTGCCTAAAACCAGTGCATTTTGGTTTAAGTACTTAGGGACTCTGCTCAGGAACGGGAGCTGGGGACTGGGTTATAAACCTACCATGGTCAGGCTTCTGACGGAGGCAGGATGGTATAAGGCTGGGGTTCTCAGACAAGGAGCTGGGATAATTGGCTGGAGTCTCTCTATTAGTTCATGAGAGGCTAGGAGACGCATTCATGTATCTCAGCTGGGTGTGTCCCTGCTTATAGAGGGTTGTGTGAGCACAGGACCTGAAGAGGTTGGCAGCTTGTCACAATATTGTTATGAAAGGGGGAGTCCAGGTTAGTTAAGTCAGAGGGCCCAGAGACAACCCAGTTCCAGGTTGTACCCTAGGGAACTGTCAGAGTAGGAATCGCATGAAATCTTGCAGAGCTCATGGGAAGCACACAGATCAGTCAACAGGATCTTAACTGACTGGGCAAACTTCGTTCCAGAAGAGGAAAAATCTTGTAACAGCAGAGACTACAGACACTGAATGCCACAATCATCACATTGATAGTTACTTCCCCAAACCCCTCAAAATGCAATCAAAACACTAAACAACTCCACTGTGTCCATCTGTTACAGGAAAAACAGACTGCAAACTACTGTACCTTCATCTGTGTCCAGTCCTCATTGTAGTGTGTCCTGTCTGCCTCATCTGTGGATTGAAGGTATTTTCTCCTAAACTCATCCCCCACCACACGCAGGTGTTTAGCAAACACCATACTTCGACGGGTCTGTCAGGGTGAGAAGAGCTGCCAAGTTACTCTCTAGTAATAGAGCGAGAGAGCGCTATAAACACATGCATGTGAGAAGCTGTTTCCATTTAAAGCTCCTGGAATAGGGCTACTTTTAACACATTCCTGTAATGTGGCAAAGTAACAATTTCTTGCATTTAAATGGGACTTTTTACCAACTGGTGGGTAACTGCATTCACATGCCATATGTACAAAACTTGACACTGCAGGAGTGCCTTTTAATAACTAGACCTGCAGACTGGGAAAAGAGTAGAGATTGACCTACGTTGGAGTTAAAATTTCAGCACCAAAGAGGATGTATAGTATCAATGTTACTAATATGTTACCAACACCCAGTCAACCGCTAGAACATCTGTTCCTCAAATGTCCACAATGTTTATGCCCTGGGTCTGTCAGCCCTTCCCCATGGCAGCAGAAAGATCTAAGCATTAGCATACTGGGTCATGAAACCAGGAAAGCGCAATTTAAATGAAGTTTTCAGTGAGGTTTCTGTTTCGACAGGGTAAGTAAATATTCTGAGGTCACAAGGGGAGTCAGCCAGTGACTTAGATGGGATTAGAATGTAGGATCTACATCACTCTCCCTTCTGCCATCTGGCTGCTCTGGTATAAGTAAAGAAGGCATTTCTATATCAAATCATGTACAAAAGTAGAAAGACAATTGCAGAAAGAGTTAAGCAAAATTGCTACTGAAATTAAATATTCTCCAAGAGACATGCTTCTAGCCACCAAAACCCCCAATTATGTTAAAGAATATGGACAAAATGAAGGTATTCCCTATACTTGAAGATATTTAATATATTTTAAATGTGTTTTGTGATAGTTACCATCTGGAATTGAGGCAGAGCAGAAGCATCCTTGTTACTGAAAGTGTTAAGAAGTTGTCTTTGAGTTCAGTTAACCACAATAATCAGAAGTTTGATGAAATTCTTGATTTCTGAGCAAAATGATTTTATCTCCCATGGACCAATGAACATTCTATGAAGATGTACTGAGGAAGCTTGGAATTTATTTTCAAGACAAAAATCCATTTGTGCTTGGCATAAAAGCTTCTCTTCTCTTAACAGAATGGTAAATTCTGGCAGGACTAGGGTAACCCAACAGTCTGCCCTGAGGAACGGACGGTGGATAGCTGCACCATTGCAGAAGCAGAGCAAGAATCACCTGGAATTCTGAGGAACAAAAGCTCAGGCCCTCTTTCCACTTGCTCTAGCAGTGAGGGAGGCTATTATAGCTGACTGTACTAAACTCCAGCCACAGTAGTGGCTGAGCGCACAGAGACTACATCTAGACAACGGAGCTATTTTGGGATACCAGAAGTATCCTGCAATAGCAACTCCACGTCTTGAAACACGTCCCTTATTTCAAAATATATTTCAAAATAATGGGTGCACTATTCTGGTGATAGCACTTTATTTCGAAATTACCTCGACATAAGCTGTGCAAATTGTGTATGATTTCGAGGTAAGGGTGCAGTGTAGATGCACCCAGAGAGAGCAGAGCCATGGCTCCTTTCCCTCCAGACCCCCTTCTCACAGAACGGAGAATCAGGTGAGTAGCCACTAGATAAGCAGCTTGCTAGTGCTTCTAATGGAGCAAGATGAAACAGAATGGCAGTGGGACTGGTCCTGTGTGTGTTCCTCTCACATCATCATCACCAGGCAGCAGTCTAGCGTGCCAGTTTTTTCCTCCACCTGTCATGGCAATAAATACATAAGCACAACATGAAGCTGAAAGACAGGCCAGAGAAAATGGAGATAGTATTTTACTCCAAGAGGCAAGCAAGACTTGTAAGTAGAAGTTAACACAGACCTCTCTCCAAGGCTTGTGGCAGTGCAATACATGAGTGAGAGACTTCCTATGATTAGAGAACCTGCAGCCTCCTTGCTCTCTCTCAAAAAGTCACTACTAGTATATCTTTGGCATCTATATATTATATTGTGACAGATTAATTCTGTACACACAGAACTCCTATACTGGGAGATAAATTTATCTATGGTCACTTGGTACGAGGGTGCGCTCAGTGCTACAAAGTACACACCAGAGAAGAAAGTATGAACGTTCATTGGAATTTCAGAAGTTGGCCTCTGTGTAACTAGTTATTTTTCCTGTACTATGAGTATTCATTGCAGACTCGTGGACATTGATAGCAGTGCAGTCATCTTTAATACTTAACCTAGCTTCCTTTCTCTTACCTTCTGGTTTGCTAAAGTCTTTGAAAGCATTTTTTTTTTGTTGGGCTACTTTTGATTAGTTAAATATGTGAAAGTACTCAATCCACTTACACACAACTTTCAAAAGAGGAGACCAACGAAAGGGCCAGAGCCAGAAATTGTTGGGTTCCCCAGAATCATATTAAGGAGAACTCCCTGTCTTGATATTACCTCTGAGGTCTAAAGATAACCCACACGGTGTAGCATTTCCCATTACAGGACTAAGCACAGTTACTTTTCACTAGGGTTGCCAGGTGTCCAGTTTTGAACTGGACAGACCAATATTTGATCTTTCTGTTTGGGAAACAAATTGAGAAAATATAAATGTCCAGTATTTTCTAACAAAGATGTAATGTAGATTGTGATGCAATGTCAAGTGTGTCTGGTATTTCTGTTGAAACAATCTGGCAACCCTGCTCACCCTCATTGGGATGTCTATTACAGTACAGAACCATATAACCCATCTTTCAACCACTAAGATCTTTCAAAATAGAGCTTCTGGTGGTGAACACAAAGCAAACTTCAACTGAAGTCAACAGGCATCTTTCCCTTGACCTTAATGGGGAGTAAATCTAGAGTTGCAAACTCCAAAAAACAAGTGCAACATTTTATTTATAGGCAGACCCCGGGTTACGTACAAGATAGGGACTGTAGGTTTGTTCTTAAGTTGAATCTGTATGTAAGTCGGAACTGGCGTCCAGATTCAGCCGCTGCTGAAACTGACCAATGGCTGACTACAGGAAGCCTGAGGCAGAGTTGCTCTACCCTGGGCTTCCTGGAATCAGCTGCTGATCAGTTTCAGCAGCAGCTGACTTGGGGAC